AACAAAGATTTTAAAAATTTACCCAGGTGGTTTCCCATTGTGAATAAACTACTTGTTTTTAATGTATGTTTGTGGCTTAATGCAGATAGGCTTATGATAAGAATGGTATGCATTATTGTAGCATAGTTAGACTGGCTCTGTTATAATGAAGAAGATAAGCTACTTAAGTTTGTGATGCAGTTGACTATCCCCGGACCATGCAATACAGATGTGACTAAACAGACATGCTTAAGAAACATAACAATCCATGCTGGGCATCCTCTTCAGGTCTCCATCCTTTGAAACTTGCTAGTTATCAGGATGAGTCTTTGAAGAAGATACAGGTGTTATCCATTGGGGCCATTCATATATCCACCTCATGGAACCGAATGCTGCAACAGAGGTTACCAAAGGGCTACCAAAGACCTTCTTTCCCAGAATGAAGGCCCAGAATGACCATACTTTGTTTTCCAATATATTTTCTTATTTTATTTCTGCTTATGTCCTTAATTAAATAGTTCACAGGAGCTGGTTGTTAAAGTTTTTTCATAAAGAGATTTTAAATCATTTTACAATTGGGTATTCATCATTATGCAGTTTAGATTGGGCAGAAATGGCTGACTTAGAAACAGAATCACAGAAAAGTAGGGCTGGAAGGGACCTCCAGAGGATTATCCCTATCCAAATCAACCCATACAAGCCATAATCTAAATTCTACGTAAGACTACTATCAACCCTGACACAACACAGACCTAACACCCTAACCTGCCATAGGGAAAGCAGGGGGACCACAGCAGCCAATATCCTGCTTCTGTGAAATGTTGTCAATATATGCTCAAGAGGTCCTGGGTAGAGGGCTGTGCCTCTGCTACAGAGGAAGGCATAGATCTCCACAGTCCCTACCAGCAGGGAGAATTTGGTCCCAGCAGAAGCATTGGCACACCCCTATGTCCCACCCACGGTCCCTAGCCTTGGCTGTAGCCAACTCCCAATGCCTCTGAGGAAGGCTTAAAAACCCCCTGACATACATAGCAGAAAGGAGGGGAGGGGATAACGAGCAAAGCCCAGAAGCATGGTGAAGACCCATGGTAGAGCATTGGCATAGCTATGTCTAGATCATGCCTGACCAGTGGCTCTCCAGCGTCTTCTTGAACACTTCCAGCGATGAAGAGTCCACTTCCCTGGACAGTCTATTCAACTACCTCACTATTATAACAGTGAACAAGTGACTTCGTGGAAGATGCTAGTCTTCAGTCTCACCAAGGCCCACTAGCCCATCCACCCCACACCCACTGCTGAGGCTGGAACCCCTGCTGCCAAGGCACTTGGCTGGGCAGCTGGGATGGGTTGCAGGGCGACAGGGAGCAAAAAGGGCAGGCGGGGCCAGGGAGACCCTGCGATCTTAGGGCAGTGACAGTGTGGGACCAGGCCTGGGGCCAGGAACAGGTAGAGCTGCAATCCACTGCCTGCACTGCCCTGCAGTGGGTGTGGGCTCCACAGGCAGGGGTGTGCAGATGCGGCTCATAGCTCTGTCCTAGGCCCCAGCCCTTCAGTGTTGTCATCCCATGATCATAGACCCAACCACAGATGCAGCTCTTTGTCTGCGGCCCCATCCCACCTGCTTGGCTTCATATCCTGTCTGCACAGGTCCCAGATGGTCTCCATGGAGACCTTGGGATCACAGGGTAGGGATAGTTCAGGGCCAGGGCCAGGGCCAGGGCAGAGCAGCAATCTGCTGCCTGCACACCCCTGCGACAGGCACTGGTTCTGCAGGCAAGGGTGTGTGGGGAGCAGATCATGGCTCTGCCCTGGTCCTGGCTCTGCCCTATCACTGCCTGGTGATCCCAGGGTCTCCATGGAGACTGGCTGGGACCTCCATGGGCAGGGTGCACAGCCAGGCGGATGGGATGGGGCAAGCAGTGAGCTGCATCCAGGGCCAGGTCCAGGATCATGGGTCAGTGACAGCGTGGGGCCGAAGCCTGTGGCAGACCCATGATCCACTTCCTGCATGCCCCTGCCTGCAGAACCAGTGCCCATTGCAGGGCCATGCTGGCAGCAGATCACAGCTCTGCCCTGGCCCTGTGCTACCACCACCCTGTGATGGCTCCCTGTGATCCTGGCCTCACCCGCCCATCCCACTCCCTGCCCACCCGCGGCCTCATCCCACAGAGGGAATTTTGGTGAGCTATTGCACAGGGGGAGAGGGTGTGTTGAACCAGCCCCTGACAGCTCACCAAAACTCCCTCTGTGGCCCATGAGGCCAAATAATTGCCCACTCCTCATTAGATGCAGAAATAGATTGGAAACCTTCTAGCTCAGCGCTCATCTTTCCTCCATTGTTCCAGTCTGAGAAACAGGAGGTAAATTGGAGTCATACTTATCTTGTGAGCCCATGAGTCAGCAAGTGTGAAGCTTTTATTGGACTAATTAGAAGAGGAAATATAAAATGACTCCATAGCTTCTGAGAAATACAGTTCTGGATGTCAAGGTGTTAAGAATAGATGTCATTTTAACACTGTTCCTCTTAAAATAAGTATCTATTTCTCTTTTACAAAACATAAAATTATTATTTTGATCCACGTCACAGCATCTGATTAAGTGTATTTGGGTTCACAAAAGCTTGTCCTCTGTGTATATATCTTACTTCTATTTTGATACAGCAAAGTAAAACCTCTTTTATTTATGCTTTCAGACTCTTCAGGGGCAATGGTGTGAGCCAACTGCAGAAAGATTCTTTTGAGGGCTTGCTGTCACTGAAGCACCTGTACGTGTGTATTTGAGGGAGTACTTTATTTGCAGGATTCCTCACTCAAGCATTGTACTAGACAAAAGATACATGCTCTTGAATCCCTTTCCTCCTGTTGGCAATAGTGAGCTACTATCATCTGGGCTGTTTCAAAGCAATTAATTTTAAAGTTGGCACCTTGGGGAGAACTTGGAAAAAAAGCAATGCTATTTTTAACAAGATTTGTTTCACTTCATACTATTTTATTGCTCATGCTATTTTGGGTCATTTGTCCTAGTCTGTATCATCATTGCAGAAACAGATGTGTTTTTATGGGTATGTCTATACTGCTAAATTACAACACTGTGCTGAAACGTGCTGTGCTCTCTCACACACACTACTTCCTGAACCAGAAGTAATATAGTGCCTGTAGTGCAGCACTACATGTGTACTGATAAGCTCTGCTGAGTGGTAAAGCTAACTGGCACGGACACCACCCTTATGGAGACTTGTAACACTACTTTTAGTTTGGGATTAACATGTGTGAAGTTGATACTGTCTCACCATAGCATTGCCTAGTACCATAATTGAGCAGTACAGGCATACTCCAAGTGTGAGAATGCCGTCAGTGCAAAATATAGTGGAGACACACTGTTGTTTTTCCTTTGTTGTAGCTAGCAGAAGACAACACCAATTGGAGGCATAGGGCTGACCTCAGATAGCTACATCACAATAAAAAATACTTGCCCCTTGTCTCCACTAGCTGTTATCAAGAGAGAAGGTTTGCAGTGAGGACAAAATCTGAGGTCAGAATCTTGGCTAATTCCTTGCTCATCACCTCCTTCCTTCCCTCCCCCTCCCCACCCCCTTTTTATCCCCTTTGATCAATTCAGCAGCAGCAATGGGATTGAATGAAGTTTGTCATTCATTTGATTGCTTTCATTTACTGTTTGCCATGTGTTCAGCCACAACTCCTATACACCCTGGGACCTCAAGGCAGTCTCCCCTCCTACTTCCAAGATCAGGTGCATTCTGTCCAGCATAGACATACCTTTCAGCTATTTTATTACCTTCTTCTGAATGTATGAAATCCTGAATTAGTTCCACAGCAACCAGATGTAAAGTCACAGGCAGGGATCCGCATTGTCCCGTCCTGCATAGCAAAACTTTGGGAAAGAATTTTTTGTGAGTCCATACTTTGTCCTGTTTGAAGGGACATGGCTTTTCCATCTCAAATCTGGCAAACCTAAGGGAACTGGGAAATTAGGATTTTATAGCATGCCTGTCCCTATCAATGGAATATGTAATTATGTAGATGATCCTTGATATGTTTTGAAGACTCTTGTGGTTTCTTGGCAAATAGTGAAAGTACTATATTAATTTATCCCCATTTAAAAAAGAAAGCCAAAAAGCCTAAGCCTTTGCCTTCTCACATTCATGCTTACAAGTGTTAAAAGGACATGATGGTTTGTGAAAAATGGCCTGTCTCTTTAATGCCCCAGCCTACAAATAATATTTTACTTTTCCCTTGAGATTTAGTTTTTTCTTGTTCTGGGTTTTCCTGTGTTGTGGTGTAGGAGTGTGTGAGTTAATTTGATACAAATGAAGTGTAAAAATAGCAATGTCTTTTTTGTTTTCGGTCTTCTGTTGGTTAATCACTGTAGCATTCTCTTCTATCCTTCCCAAAAAAAGACCAAATAGGCAATACATACTTCTCTAGAAAAGCTACTGATGATGGTTAAATCTTGGATGGCAAATGACCAAAAGAGCCAGATTAGTCAAGTGGTTTTGGAGGAACAAGGGCAACAGTTTAGCAAAGAGAAAGCTGAGGGTACTGACAGATATGAGGGTACCTGGTTTTGTATGCATATGTAGATTACACCAGGATCAGGACTGGTCCAAGGAGCTGCCATCCTGGAGCAGCTGCACACAGTAGGCTGCTATTACTGCACTTTGTCAATAAGTGGTAAGGGAGCAAGTAAAAGCCTGCTTGCCTTGAGCAAATAGCTACCCCAGGATGAACACAAACAGATGAGCCCTAAACCAGTGTAACTTACACTGGTGGAGTTTGACCCTAGTTATTCCAAAGATAATTCTCCACTGGTTTGGGTGAATTTACCCCTGTTTAATAGTTTGCACTGTCTGTCAACTACTTTTTATAGAGGTGTGATGCCATCTGTCCATGCTCTGAGGCATATAAAGGAAGAAAAAGAAAAGAAAGCTCCAAAGATGGGAAGGGAGGGGAGAGTAGTAACCCTGATTGCCCTGATTTGGAGTTTGGGGCTCAGATGATTCACATGCTGTTACTTAACAGTTATCTGTATTGAGTTTAGGCTCATTATGGTTGATTATTTTTTTCCATTGAGAGGCAAATTTTCTATTTCCTTTTACCCTGAATGGAACACCCAGGTTTTTATTATAAGTAACCTGGCTGCTTGGTCTCAATGACATATAGTATGCAATGTGAGATACAGTTTTGATACTAACCTGGACGAAGTTGTGGGAAATAACCATAAAGAAACAGACTACTCTTTCATAACTTTCAAAACTGAAGCTCTCCAATGTCAGCAAATGTCATGTAATCTGTAGCTGATAGAAAAGTAATAACCTCCCATGTGAGTCCCCTGAGCCTGTGTGAGGGGATACTGTTCCTGATATTCTGGCTGATACCAATAAAAAGGGGAAAAAGGCCCCACTTGACTAAAGGTTGGGTAGCTGGAGTCTCTTGATTTAACTCCAGCCCTCTTGATTGCCAAGAGTCACCTGAAGCCTACTGGTATAGCAGTTATTAAGGCCCACCTTCCATAACTGCTAATCTGTGCTCCTCTATAGACTCCATTCTCTTTTTATTGAAAAAAGTCCAGCCTTAACTCATTTGTGGCTTGGACACCATTGAAGGATTTGGATCAGAGCAAAATGGACGTCACAAATATGAAACAGTGGTGAAAAAGTCCTTAAAGAGCTAGTTGGGCCTTTTTATTTTAAGTCACCAGAGTGGTTATAAATTATGCATACAAACAAGCTGATATTGAATAGATATGCCAAATTCAATCATAACTACTTACAGTCATTTCTGTATATGTCAAAAGGAATGAAAGGAAATGTTACAGTTCAGAAACAATTAATATTTCATGCTCTTAATTTTAACAGGGACTTGTCCTGCAATAAAATCCTGACTATTGAAAAGCGTGCATTTGAGCCTCTTCCTTTTTTGCAGTTTCTGTAAGTTGTCCAGATGATTTTATGTAATGTGTAATGAATGATGCTGTAGAAGTCTGTCTACACTTTTGTAACCTGTCTGGTGGTAGAATCAATTCAGTACTTTGCTACCATTATTTATAGAAGTATGACTATACCAGAACACTAGATGATATGTAGCTAGGAAGATCAGTAGAGATCTCTGGATGACCAATGACAGCAGGCTGTCTGCCCCCAGTGTGTGGTTGTCCACACATAGATATTGTAGAGGATACTGCCTAAAGACCTGCTATATCCTGGAATAGAAAAAGTTTAACCACACATGCATTTCACTTCCCCTACTTGACAGGTTAAACAAATGCAGAAAGTAACAGAATTTCCTCACCCCTCCATCTTGGATTTGTATATTTCAAATGAATCAAAATTGCTTATGACCAACTTGCTGTGCAACAGGATGGATTTATTTCTACAATTGTCTCTTTTCCCAGAAATCTTCGTGGAAATCTCATTGCAGAAATTAGTTACGGGACATTCGTGGCATGGCATGGGATGCAGTTTTTGCAGAAGATGTAAGTGCAACAAAATCTATTCAGGTGTAAAGTTGAAACTAGGGCTGTCAAATGATTAAAAAATTTGATTACAATTAGTTGCACAATTAAAAAAATTAGTCACAATCACGATTTTAATTGCACAGATAAAAATTCAAAACTATGCTGAGAAAAACTCAGGCAAAATTATGCAGGTACTTTGTACGGTTGGGGAGTGGGGAATTTGTGAAGGTGTGGGTCGCTGTGGGGGGGGTGTGGGGTTTGGAGCCCAGAGAGGGGGGTTCCCGCATTCCCTGGCAGGATGTGGGGTACTGTGGGTCAGGAGTGAGGGGCAACAGCAGGGCTGCGGGGCTGTGGCTTGGGAGTGAGGGACACACACACACACATTGCCCAGCAGGTAAGTATGTGTGGGAGAAGGGGCGTGCAGGGGGGAAAGGGTTGGGGCAGATCAAGGCCCCCACGTTGAGGGAGGAAGTGGGGCAGGGGCTGGGGTGAATGGGGCCCCAGGGCCGGGTGGGTCATGGGACAGAGCTGCAGGCGGGTTGTCCAGGGGTGCAGGGCGGAGGGCTTGGGGGGCATGTGCTCCCTGGATTTGTGCACAGGGTGGAGGCAGGCTGCCACTGCACACTGGGCTCTGCACGCCATTGCCATTGCTCCGGGAGCCAGGGGACACAGCTCAGCCAGCACACGGCTCCCAGGGCAATGCCCCATGCACAGATTGCCTCCACCCCGCACACAAATCCAGGGGGCACATGCCCCCCATGCCTCTCCTGGCGGAAGCCCCCACTACATCCCTGAATGAGCCACCCATGGTTCCATCCCACAACCTGCCAGACCCTGTCCTTGCCCTTGCCTCTGCCCCTGCCTCTGCCATTAGCAGCAAATCTGCTTCTGCTTCCCTGTATGTGTAAATGCCTGCCTAGGAGCATTAGAGTAGAGTAGTTTACTTGTGAGTAAACTGATCCCAGATCAACTGCATGTGTAGACGCGCCCACTGGGTGCATCTACACATGCAATTAACAAGTAGCAATAAACTCTGGCACAGTTTGTGCTGGAGTTTACTGCTCCTGGGTGCAGCATTTTACACATGTGCCTAGAACTGCAGCACATTGAACTGAAACGGAGCATCCCCAGCTGGCAGGGGCTCCAAGGGGTCAGCCTGCCAGCCTGGAGCTGCTTCGCCCTGGCTCAATGTGCTGTGGAGGGGCTGGCTGGGGCACAAGGATCTACAGTGTGGAATAACCAGCAGGCAGCCCTTGCAATATAGCGCCCTCGTTCCCCAGCCAGCCCTGGTCATTGTCTGCATGTATGTTTCAGCACATGTAACTACTTTGCTGTAAGATAGTATTTGTTCCGGACCTACAGCAGAGTTAATTAATTTACTAAGCTCTAATATGGGTGCACAGGTAGACAGTGTTGCTTTACTGTGGAGCTAATTACTCAGCTCCACAGTAAAGCATACATATAGATGAACCCACTGAAGAGGTGTTGGTCTCAAACCATTTACCGTATTTACTCAAGTAAAGAAGGGGATTTTTTTCCCCAATCAGCATGGGGAAAAAAATGCCCCATATTTTATATTCTTCATATACCAGCAAAACCCCTCCCCATCATTAAAAATATATTGTCTATCTTTAAGCTGCTGCTAGAAACAGTATGTGCTCAGTCATGGAAACCAACTAAGAAATTAATTGAATGAAGCTCATGCTGAGCATGCCCATAAAACACATGGGTCACATTGGGCAAACACAATGATGGGAATCTACCACAAAGCTAGGTTAGTGTTACTGGACTTAATGTTAAACTTTAGGTGTTGGCACTGAAGTCATGAAAATGCTTGAACAAGAATAGTCCATTCTCTAAAGAGAGCATTTTTTGAGCAAAACAATTTGCAATTTCAAGCATAAGACAAAGAAACAACAGACAAACACCTGGAAAATTACAGACAGGCAAAGTTCTTTGAGTAGATGTGATATCTTTTTATTAGAACAACTGAATAGTTGGAAAAAAGTTCTTGACAAGCTTTTGTGTGCAGTCACCCTTCTTCAGGAATAGACAGTCTCTGCTCATCTGATGATGAGACTCCAAGGAATGAGAGAAGCTAAAAGTGTGGCAGGATGTCAGTGAGAACGTAAATAGGTAGAAATTAGAAAGACAAAAGGTAAGGGAGGGGGAAGAAAGCAGGGGGAAAAGGCCAAAGGGATCCCCTTTGCATCCCCTGAGCGTGGCGGTGCACCCCCTGCAAAAAGGTGACACTGCTGGTGGTGCCGGCAGGCAGTTGCCACTTGCCATTCCCCTACCCTTGCCACCGACGCTGCTGGCTGCCGCCACCACTGCCAGTGTCATCTGCAGGTGGTCACCAACCACTGGTCAGTGCTCACCACCCCCCCACCACCACCACTGACAGCGCTGCGGCTGCCTGTGGGAGCTCCCCACTTAGCGCCTCCACCACCTGCAGGAACTCGCTGTCCCCCCCACAACCTCCAGGGGCAGGTGGCATTCATGCACCCTGTGAAATCCTTTAAATGCGAAACACTAGCAGAGGAAGGAAGAGGAACTAAGGGAGGTGGACAGGGAAAAAGCTGATTGTAAATTTGGAAAATCAGCCAGGAAGGAGATAAACCATTTGATCCCATCAAGAGCTACCAAACGCCAGGTCTCAAAGAGCACCAAGGCTGGCTGTGGGATGTGATCCAGAGGTCCCATGCTGCCAGGACTGGACACAGGCATGGGTCAACTGGGCAGCTGCCCGAGGTGTAGACAGAAAGGGGGCCCAAAAATAGTAAATTTTTTATTATTAACATCATCTCTGGCGAAGTGGGGCCCGATACTAAAAGTTCACCTGGGGCCTCCAGGAGTCTAGGTACAGCGCTGCAGGCTGCCTGAGTGAAAGGAGCAGGAGGGAATGGAAAGAGAAGCAAGAGGTTTAAGTAAATCAAGTGAGCAGGGCTGCCTGAAAATGTTCGACCCAAACTCTTTTTTTCCTACAGGAAAGTGCATCTTTGAATGCACAAAAATTTTCATGGAGGCTGTCTGCTCTCCTCAAATATTTCCATTTGTTATCAGAAGGCCAACAATTTTGGATGAAAATGAAGCAGTTTTTAGCCAAAAACACTCAATTTTCTGGGTTTTTTTTTTTTATTTTTTTCAATAAAAAGTCAGAAATTCCCACAGAAAAGGTAAACAAAAATATATTAATTTTGTTATTGTCCTAAGTTTCCATGGAAATCCCCCTCCCCGCTGCCGCCCAACCAGTTTTCAAGCCCAGACTACAAGCATTTTAGAAGCAAAAGAGACAGGTATTGGATGCAGGAATGAATAAGGAACCGGTAGATTTTGAACATGAAGAGGGATGTGACCAAGGTTCATACCTACAAGGTGATACCAAAGCTTTTGAATTTCATTAGATTTTGGCAATAAAATACCATAAACACAGTAGGAAAAAAGGAAGATCTGAACAGCCACAACCCAAAGGGGAGGGGAGTTCAAAATGAGTGGTTGCTCCTCAAGGGAGTGATCCTGGATGCGCAAGCGAAGTCTATCCCATTTTGGAGGAAAGACAGCAAAAGGGCACAGCAGCCCCCTTGACTCTCCAGGGAACTAGAAGACCTCCTGCATCTTAAAAGGAAGACGTACAAAGGATGGAGGACTGGATCCACCACCAAGGAGGAATACTCTGCTCTGCTCTGGTCCAGACCTGCAGAGAGCAAACCAGGAAAGCCAAGGGTGCAACTGAACTCCAGCTAGCTACAAATATCAAGGACAATAAAAAGTCCTTTTTTAGATATGTGGGGAGCTGGAGGAAAAGCAAGGGCAACATTGGGCCCCTGCTAAACCAGATGGGACAACTGACAACCAATGCCCATGAAAAAGCAAACTTGCTAAATGGGTACTTCGCGTCAGTTTTTCACCAGTCCCATGGAACGCCTCTGCCCACTGTGAGTCAGGGAGGCCTGGGTGAGGGAAATTCCTTACCCTTTATCAAAGCTGACCTTGTGAAGGAACACCTTGACGGGCTGGATACCTTCAAGCCAGCCGGCCTGACGGTTTACACCCAAGGGTACTCAAGGAGCTGGCAAGCATCATAGCTCAGCCCCTGGCATGGACCTTCAAGAGCTCCTGGTGCTCTGGTGAAGTGCCCGACAATTGGAAGAAGGCCAGTGTGGTGCCTATCTTCAAGAAAGGGAGGAAAGTAGATCTGGCAAACTACAGGCCCATCATCCTGACCTCTATCCTGGGGAAGGTCTTGGAAAAGATTATCAAAGAGACCATCCTTAACAGACTAGCTGACAGCAATATCCTGATGGATACCCAGCATGGGTTTGTTGCGGGTAGGTCTTGCTTGACCAAT